CTACATCAGCAAAAGAATCAAAAGAAAAATCAGATTAATATTAAACTCATCACTTTTCATAGCCTGCCTAAGGTTTACTATCTCAACAAATTCAGATTCTTTGAAATAGCACAGATCTTGGAATATGGATGCAACTATCTATTGAGAGATGACGATAATTAAGTCGACTATATTGAATTGTTAGATCTTATTAAGGAAATATTGTATGAATCACTTCCAGACCTATCAATAATGCCAGATCAGATCCCCTCTAACATAATCATAAAACTCCCATGCCTACTTCCAATCAAGAAAAAATCATCACTCTCTCCAATTGTATCAATTCTCAGGGTACACTACAAGTTCTCCCAACTTCCAGATTCATACTTCTTCAAATTCTCAGAGCTACCAGAAGACCCAAAAGATTTGAATGAAAAAACTAATTACTTGTTCCCCATTATCGAGAGAAAAGATTTCAAAGACCTCGAAACCAGAATAAAAGAACTGGCCAGATACTACGAAGTTCCTGCGAAACTTCCCAAGTCATTCTTTAACTACCACCATCCAAAATTCCCCTTCCAGCCTCATACAAATTGCTACCTGCTCACTTAGCAACCTACTTTTCACATGATCCACTTACAATAGACACAAAAGAGTTGATCGGAATCTTAAGAAAAGAATATAGCCTCAAAACTCTGCCACTCGATTACTATAAGTTTAAAAGGCCACTCCCCTCCTCTTCTAACTCATTGCTAGATAAACTGGATATGGCACTTCTAGTACAATCTAAAGAAAGTACAGAGATCCTTATAAAATGTCTGCAAAGGGACTTCAAATTCAACTTGCCTCTGGATTCCCAATGGATAGACTCTTCAATATCACAAATTGATAAAGAAAAACTTCCAGCCAAAATTACTGATTTAAACATATCTATTGGAATCAAAGATCATATTAATAGACAGTCCGAAGACTTCCTAGTGATTATCTGCAAACTGCACGAGAAATACGAATTTTGTACAATCCTTGAAGACTGGTTTCAAGCTCCTAAGCCTCCTCTACCTTCTATAGAGGAACTCAAAATATATGAAGAAAATCTCTCAGAAGTCAGATTCCCACTAAAAGATAATGAGAACCTACCTGCAACAATAGCCCAATTGCATAAAAAATATACCTTTGAAAGGCTTCCTGATAACTATATCGCTCCCAAAGATCTACTGGAGCCCAGTTTTGATCTTGTACCCTTTATCTGTTAAAATGATAAGCCCACCCAATTCTATCCATTCCCTACAAATAAACACAAATCAAAATCCCCTATCAAAAAAACAAACCCCACCTATCAAAAACCTTCTAAACATTTCAACTCTCAATACAGTTGGTTTAAATAACATCTCTAAACTGACAACTCTCACACAAGATCTTACAAATAGTAAATCAATCCTATGTTGCTCTGAAACAAAAATATTATATAGAAATTGTCTCCCAAAGAAATGTAACAACCATACTATCATCGCAAGCTTCCCTTCAGACTCTTCTAAAAATGGTACATGCCTAATAGATGGCGAGGACCTGGTTAATCATATATTTAGAACATTTACAGAAAATGAATACTGGTGTGCAGTTTATCTCAAGTTCAAGCCAAAAATTGATCTAATCATTACTGCTATTTACCTCCCATATGAGTCAAAAGAGTGCAAAATAGCAACAAGTTCATTAATTAAACACATTAGAAAATTTGGAAACAATATACACCAAATTATGGCCGGCGACTTCAACTCTTATCCAATAGGCACCCCAGCGATAAATGCTCCAACATCAAATTTCAAAAGAAGAATATACTGTATAACTACATGCACAATTGGATTGACATTGTCAAGATACTTGACAAAGAGTATGATTTTACTTATTATACTTAGACAAGTGCTTCAAGAATCGATCAGATTTGGTGTACTAACCATCTGGGCTCTAAAGTTCTGGAAGCCTAAACATTTACTTCATACTCTATAATCTCTGACCACAAGCAAATCCAAGTGATCTTTGACTGGTTCGAATACAAGTCAGGAATACAAGGCTGCTAGACCAAAGTCTTCAATTGGAAGAATGCGTTACCACAACAAAAGAAGAATTTTAGTGAAGAAGTCGATCTAAGGATTGACATAGCTGACAGCTGCTCCTGGTCAATATTCAACAAAATTTTGATAAGTGCAGCAAGAAACAATCTGCCATTAGTCAAATCTCTACTGCACAGAGCTAATCAGCAAAGGACTGGCCAGCATTTCCATTTGCTAAAACAAATCAAAAGACTAATTTCAAATATTAAGAAGAGAAAAAACACAAAAGCGCAAGGTGCAGGAAGTAAAATTCCAAAGAACATCAATACACTGTACCAAAAAATGTTCAACAGCACACCAGTATCAATCAAAATGCTTAATTGCCTAAGAAGCACCTTAATCAAAGAGAGATTGCACCAAATAAAAGAACAGCGAACAGATCAAATCCATAAAACTATTCTAGACAATTACTTCAAATTCTGGAAAAGACCAAAGAGTTTTATCAAGAAAGCATTGGGGACCTGAAACCCTCCTTAAACTTAAACATTGTACAAGATAGCAAGGATAATCTTATAGATGATCTAGAAGAAATCAAAACAATTATAGTCAACCATTTTAAAAAAATTCTCAAAAATAGCAACTTCAACCTAACAAACTCAGAATGGGTCAGCAAGTACTTACCACTGAAGAGCATATTAGAGAAGATATATAAACCAACTCTAAGTCAACTTGACTTGGAAGAATTAACTAGCATTACTCACGAACTATCTCTAAACAAAACCCTAGGAGAATCAGGTATCACATACGAAATAATTAACTCCCTAAGCAAAGGTTCAAAAAAAATACTCCTAAACTTGTACAATAATGTCTTAATAAGCGAACAAATTCCCATATACTGGAAAAGTCTTCAATAGTTCTGCTACCAAAGAAACTAGTCTGGTCTCACAGAATTTCAGATACCCGACCAATCTTACTTATTGAGTCAATCAGGAAGATTTTCACAAAAATAATTAACACTAGAGTTTCAGCAATACTTATCAAGCACAAAATTCTTTCAAAGGCAAGCTTTGCTAGCCTTGCAAAGTAAAGTACCATGGAACTATTGTCGATAGCCACTTCAACTATAAATGCTGCAACTAAAGATGGGTCCCTAAATTAAAGGCAAAGACATAATTCAAATGTCTCTTACTATTAAAAAAGTTTTTTTTTAAATATAAGGTCAAAAAAAAACCACCTACAAAGGTTTTTTGTAATTTAGGTTACTTGATTCAAGTGTTTTTTGAATTATGTTCCTATTAAAGTAATGAATAAATAATTATGTCCCTTTAAAAGAGACATAATTGATCTGCCAAATTTTATATGCTAAATAGTTTAGGGATCCATCCTTAGCCACAACCAACCTCAACCAAAAACTTTGGATTGCCTCATTTGACATTACCAAAACTTTTGACTCAGTAAACCTTGACAGCTTGAAAGCTGCTCTCTCAAGAATCAAAATTCCAAACAAGCTAACAAATATTTTCTTTAATCTGTTAAATAATAGAAACCTCTCTATAATAACTAATAGTGGAAGAACAAGAAATTTCGAAGTCTCAAAAGAACTGAATCAGGAAAAAACCCTGTCGCCCCTACTCTGGACTATCTTCTATGATCCAATGGTGGCAGCAGTTTTTAGCCATCGAAATCATGTAATAATCTCCTACAATATCCTTATATACATGGATGATATACTCTTAATAGCTCAGTCAATAAGATAACTACAAAAAATCACAGATATCTTCTGCTCCTTTCTCACCCTCAACAATATCAAATGTAACACTGAAAAAACAATATTAATTACAACGTTGGGCAACAACAATAGCAATAGAAACTCAAGACTAAAGGTCCTCAATACTTCAGTTCAGCCACTGCCACATAAAGTACCACTACATTATCTAGGCAACTACTTCTCAGGAGACAGCTCCAACAATTCACGCAAGCAACCTGTCATAAAAAACCTAAACCAATCAATTTCAGCACTCAGTAAGCAGTCCTGGAATGGATCAATAGTAAAGCAAGTAATTGATTAAATAATTTCAAGCAAAATCGATTACACGCTGCACTCAACAACATTGACAAAGAACTAACTACATGCAATTCAAACAAGAATCAACTGTTTAATTAAGTAAAAATTCAACATAGGAAGAATCATCTTGGATAGAATTGTATACTCACAAGTCAGTCTCAAATGTATCAACCTCATGGATAAACAAGACCTCACCCTGATCAAACTTCTTGTCACAAAAGCATGCAACTCAAAAACAATAGATGCCCTCAACATAGAAATCAAATCAATATAGGCAAGCAACATAATTTGATTATGTTCAATCTGTCATCCAGAAAAATTCCCAAGCAGCTGGATAATCCAAGCCACCACTACATGCAAAAAATACCAAATTAACATGTACCCTCCAAACTGCAAATTTAACGACCCTGATAGTAATCTATCCCTAGGTCTCTTTTTCTCATTCAAAGACAAAACACACAAGCGGCAAGCCTCAAGTCTATTTCGGAAAGAAATCAAGACTCTCAAAGATCTGTACGTTTACAAGAACAACTGGAAACTCATTTGACACAAATTCAATATGCATATAGGTCCTACTCCGTCAGGCCCAGTGCCATCATAGTTCTCACAAATCAAAATCATATCGGATGTTCAAGGAACCTCTACTAGAATTTCTAACCTTAAAGCTAAATTCTGGGTCTTTATGGAAAACAACCAAGTATCATATATTAAGTCAAGAATCAATAAAGACACAAGCTGACTACTAAAAAGGCCACATTACACCATTGATCCAAGTAAAATGCTTATAAAATGCCAGTGCCACAACACTGGGGTGCATATCACTATACTTACTGATAAAGCCATATCTCTTTGGACCTATTCAAAAAACAATCAATACTATCTAGCCAATGCTCCTGAAAAAATAATAGAACAGCTGCAAGCACACCTTGAAGACAATACTACCCCTACAGTCATGATTAGTAACAACCTACCTGACAAAGATACTTTCCAGCTAAATGAGGATATGATAGAAGATATCAAGCAGTTGATATCAAATATTCACCCTTTTTCAATAATAGACCTAACAACAAAGGACAAGCTAGTTTTTATAGAAAACAAAGAAATTAACTTAGCACTGCACTCAATTCATAACCAACCTATCAACGTATTGCTATCGATTATAGGACTTCTAGCAGCTATTAAGGAACAAACTTATATAACCATCAATATCCCATTTGTACTATAGCTAGACACTTCAAGCTACCTCAACTGAAGAATCAAAATTTCATATAGCCACCTAATTAACTGTATCAACGAGTTCTGCACTATAAAAGAGATTAGACTAACTTTATGTAAGTAGACCAGCACCCCGACATCTCAGGAGAATGACAACATTATTTCAATTGACAATATCCTAGTAGTCAACAACTATATTACTAGCCCTAAAATTAAAAATACCTGAAGTATAGAACCAACACACTGGATTAAAAGAGTCCAACAAATATATAGAACGGTAGACCTCACCAATAGCTCAACTGTCAAAGAAAGATGGAACCAGGCTTCTTATTTAGAATCCCTTCAAACACTTTACTTAGTTAATAAGATTCTCATCAAAAAGGACAAGCTCAACTGCTCATCCCTGCTAGCATTTAGATGCAAAATACTTAACAGTTCTCTTCCTACAAGACAAGTATTACATGAGAGATATCCGGACCTATACAAAGACAACCTTTGCTCCAGATGTCTAGTTGCATCTGAGACACAAAGACACATATTTGAATGTTATAAAAACACATCGGCGTTTGCCAAAATTGAAAACAAAATTGTAAACAAAATCAAAAAACTCCTACCTAAAAGCAAGTCCAAAACAATAGCAGCAGAATCAATTCACCAACTACAAACTCTGAGTATCAATAGAAAGTCAAATCTTGAAGGCTTAGCATGCAGAATGTCAACTCTCAGAATTCAGCTCTCAAAAAAAGCACAGGCCAAGCTAGCAAACTCTACTCTCAAACTTTTGTATACAGCAGTATGGATACCTAGACCGGCAACAGCAAACACCTCAATAACATCCAGTATCAAATGAAAAAAATCTACCCGAAACCTACAACTACCAAACCAAAAGGATTACCTGTTGCGCAACCAGACTTATTCGACAAAATTATTATACACTCCAACTCATAACAAATAGATCAATCAAATATACTAAAGTCCCAAGATTTCACCTTAACTCTGGAAGGGCATTAACCATCCAGCACTAATGCTAATCCAATCTACATTAAGTGTAAGGAGGATTACTTTAGTTAGTATCATAGATAGATTAACATTAATTTAGAGAAATATTCCATAAAGATGTTTGATATAACTTATGTATAATACATATACAATTAAATAAAGACTTGCATCTAATGCCCTTTTACAATAAAAAAAAAAAAGATAATTTAGTTCATATAAATCCAAGATTTGATAAAAATAATGAATATTTATTAAATAATTATTTATTTTAATATAATTATTATTGCTTTGAAGATTTTTAAATTTTTTTGAAATAAAAATTTTTAGAGTTTATTATTTTAAAAATTTTTAAAAACTTTTAAAGATTTTCAAAGATTTTTTTAGAAATTTTCAAAAATTTTTTTAAGTGGAGATCTCCAGAGATCTCTATCAAAAAATTTTCTGATGTCTCTTTTATTATCATTGATAGATAATTCTTTTAATTGTACTAGGAATATGAAACAAATGAGTTTATTTCTAGTGTTAATATCATTGGATTGCTTCTCAAATTAAGTTGCCAGGTACAAACAATCTTGTTCATCCTTATCTTCCATACTTTTAAATAATCCTTCTGTTATTTTGTTTTGGTTACTTAAATCTTGTTGGTAATGAATAATATTATTACTGTTAACATCTTTTGTTTGTGCCAAATAGGTTGCTAGGTTTTTATTATTTAGTTATAGCTTAAGAGATTCTCTTTTACTGATAATTTTTTAAATAAAATATTCTCCAGCTTTCTCTAGTTTCTTAATTTCATATTGCAGGATATCTATTAACTTGTTTCTGTTATCATTATTATTTATTTCATTGTTACTCTCTTTCTCTTGATGGTTTGATTCTAAATCATCTTCAGTTTTGACTATAGGAATTTCAATTATTCTGCCTTTGTGCTAAAAGATAACTTTTTGCTTATTAAATAGATATTTGCTTGTACTTGTTTTAACTAATCTCTTTCTAATAATAGGATTTCTTTATTTAAGTTAGTTACTTGTAATGAACAGAGACAAAGATATCACAATAGTGATTTCCAAACTATTGATGCAGCCTAGTATCCTTGTCCTGTTATTCATAATCAAAATAATTAATATTGTCAATTTTTTTTCTATCTTTAGTCCCAACTATTTTATAAACATCTTTGACATAAAACTTGCAACAGCACCTGTATTAACAATAAAATTACTACTATTCCTTTAATTTTCACCTTGCATTTTATAGTATTTATTCTTTTTTCTACTTTTATATAATTAATCTCTTGTTTTAAATAAGGTCTGCAGTCAGATTTCTTTGTTGCTCTAAAATACTTAGCATCTGATTAAGTGTTATATTAGTAAGTATCGCAAATAGATCTTTCACAATATTGTGAAATAGATTTTTCTTTTTTTGCAGTTGTTTTAATTTTGTTGAAGATAACAATATGGATATTGATAATATCACTTTTCCTATCTTCTTATTTTTATTTTCTACTGGTATTGATGGCTTCATTTATACAGTAGGTTGTGAAACTGATATAGTTGTATAATAGGATATGTTTGTAATTTTATCTAAATGATAAGATATATCTCTGGTTTTTCTTTTTTCTTTGTCTTCCTTTGGCTTTGTAAAAGACCTTCCCATACCGATTCACATTATGGTTAAGATCTTTGCAGTCTCTTAGTATAGGATAGTTTTTTTTCTCATCAGATACCTAATACACTTCCATCACTTCTTCAAATCAAGCTTTCATAAGTTGTTTAATATTAGAATTCACATTAGATACAATAGGTTGTCATGTCAATAGATAATTATATGGGAAATATTTTTTTCTTTATACATATAACATTTGTTTATTTATAGCTTTAGTTTGAAGTTATTGCTTCTGGTCTGATTTATCATAATATTAACAAGTCTGTTTTTTTGTTAAGTTAGTGCCTTTACATCTTTTTTCAACTTTGTGTTTTCTTTTTTCTTTTTCTTTTTGACTTTTCATTATTCTTTTTTTTATAATACCTTTCTACTTCAATTTCTTTTGCTAATTTAAGGGCTTTCTTCAAATACTTAAGCTAAAGATAGAAAGCAATAATACTATTTTATCTCACAATTCCTTAATAAGAATTTGTAAAATGTGGTTTTATGCTAATTTCTTATTCAAGTTTGCTTTCTTCAAGAGTTTCAGAACTTGCTAACATAAGTTTTTTATTTTTATTTTTATCTTGTTTTAATGAATTTAATTTGTTATACTATTATTATCTTAGTTCTTCTACTACAAAGGCTTTCAAGAACAATGAAACAAAACTGCAGTCACAATTATCTTCAGTATTTCAGTACTTGATTTGAATCTTATGATTATGATATCAATATATAGCATCCCTTTCAAGGTATCTGACTATAATCTAAATTTTTCTTCATGTTATCCAATTGTTCATGTTAATAGCACTTTTAAACTTTTCAATTTATTTGAATGGGTTTTCATTATTTTCTTAATAGAACTTGGGTATTTTTATTAAGTGGCTTTTGTTTATTTTTTTTATTTACTTTTTTAAACACTTAAGTAACTTTTCTTCAATATTCAGGTCTAAATAGGATTTTTTCTCTAAAGAAATTTTCTTCAAAGATATTTATTTATTCAATCTTATAGAATTCACTTTTTTAAAAACTTAAGTAACTTTTCTTCAATATTCAGGTCTAAATAGAATTTTTTCTCTAAAGAAATTTTCTTCAAAGATATTTATTTATTTGATCTTATAGAATTCTTCAGATTCAGTTTTGTCAATTTTTTTTTTTCATTGTCATCCTTCTTTCTATTACTTATTCTTTTTTTTCCTCTTTTTTCTTTTTTTTTAAAGGACAATAAGAATACAAGAAATAGAAATAACAATAGTTTTTATCTAACTAGTACATTTTCTTATTTTATATACTTTTCTTGTTTGTACTTCTCTTGTTGTTTCTTTTCTAAAATTAACAAATTTTAATCCATACAGTTTTATTAAGGTAACAAAATATCATATCTCTTAGTTAACATCAAATTGTTAATGTGAAAATAGTAAGTTTGTTGCTTGTGACAGGTCAAACTTGCATGATATTGAGATATGTTATTCTTCTTTTCTCTACTTGAATATGAATTTGAATTAATTAATTTTGAAACTACAATTAACTATCTTTTTTTTGTTGCCTTTCCTGGATAGTTCGAGTCATTATCCTCTTTAGTAACTTTCAGAACAATTTTCTTATAAGGACATTACTTTAGAAAGATAAGTTAATTAATTATTTCTTATTTTGAATACGTGTATTATCACTTTGTATAGCAATTTGTAATTAAGATTGTATTTGGATTTTTGTTATAATTTTTTCTTTTGTTTCATACTTTCATATTTCTATTTACTGTATATCGTTAAAGGTAAAAATAGTAATACAAAAAGATAGATAAATAAGGAAAAGATAATTAGATCTATTTGATATAATAAGTA